AAGCAGTGTTGGTTTAAAGTTCGTGTGGTGAGATAGGTCAATTGACTACAGCTGCTTAGGTGCCAGGATGACAATATCTATAGCATTTAGATGGTTGATATTGGTTCCAGGGCTGATTTGAGCGTTAATTTGCTGGTCTACGGCTGCGCACCCGTCCACACTCCACTCAGTCCACTGCAGCTGGAAGCCTGGAACCGGATTCCGGAATCCGGAATCCGAATAAAACAGTCCATTTCAAACGCCAAGTGGCAAATCAATGATTTGCAATTGATATTTCATCCACAGTAAAATGTTTTACGAACATTTTAAGTTCTACTATGTTAATATAATTTGGACAATTTGACAATATAGATGATTTAGTTCAAATATATACTTTCAGCGAATGAATAAATTAGTTTTTTTTTAATTAAAATCATTGGTTATCAGTGGAACTAAATTACGCTGGTCATATCAGATCTATCAGCCCCGTCAGAAGTCGTGACTGCCAGCGCTATTCAACTACTTGTCTACAAGGTAACTAACTAGTTATTGATAAAATTAATATCATTATGGATGTTCTATTACTGTGCTGTGGTCGCGTCGCAACATGGCTTACGTTGGATCATTTCACATTCACGCAGAAATTTGGCGTTTCAGTACCAATTATTCACGACAGTAAGCGCATTGAAATGAGCGTTATCATAACTTGATGTATTCTACAATTTGAAAGCCTAGTTTGTATAGAAAAGTTTAGAAGTGATCAAGATCAGATTAACCAGTGATCAGAATCAGGCAATAATATGCGTTTAAAAATTACTTTTTAAAGACAACACTTCCAAAGAATCCAGTGTCTCCAATCTTACAAATGTACAATGAATTTCTCATTTATCTCCGACTCTCCGCTACAGTATTTCACGAGTAGTTGCTAGTTGAATGGAATAGTCAAAACAAAAAAATGAGTTTATTGGGAAGTCGACATTTCTGCAGGATGTGTATCGTTCATGGCTAAGCTTTGCCTAATACAAGGATATAGAAATTTCGTCAATTATTATTCTTCGCATTACTTCGTCAATTATGTCCCACTCTACGTAATAGAATTTCTTCAACAAATCATAGGTATTTGAATTAAGTAAAAAAATAATTTCAGGTCTTTTCATTTATTTATCAAGACAAAAATGCTAGTGCTGCCTGCATATTATCACTACAATAACCTAGGTATGAACTAAATTTCACGATAAAGATTTGAAAATATACAAATAACAAAAAGACTAAACTTTCAATATGGCGTTATATCCTGCATGCACCGGTCATGAAATACTCTCAATTAACTGTGTTAGACTGTAACGCTTTCTTTTCATGTCGATTTTCAAGATGGAAGGTCCTGATGTTGGTTCACTGGTGGTATATCCACCTGGCAGTTCGTTGGCATCCGCGCTGCTTGCAGAGTTATGTGTCTGCAATGTTCGTAGCACATCGATCCTCTGATCGATTCGCATCCGCATACAACGCAATGCGTGCGACGCTTCGGATTTCACTGATAGGTTTGGTGAATTGATTTTTTGTTGCAGTCTCCTTCCCCTTCAAGTTCATCTAATTATTCGATTCGTACATTTTGACGAAAGAATCTTTCTGCTTTGTCGCCAGTCCATCAATATCTATTTTTCTGACGTTCGGCGGTATTTTTCATCCGCTAAAATTCTCGTCAATTCTCCTGAAGCGATGTCTCCCAGCGCTGTCTTTTGAATGCCTGCTGATCTTGACCATCAAATCACCATTGTCTGTTGTGGATTGTCTCAGTACAAGAACTGGTGGCAACTTGTCCCAACTTGTCTTCTTAGAATTTCCTAGAGAGAAATAACGAGGGTCCGTTTTGTCTGGCAGGAGGCAGCGATCCTCGGATGAGCAATTAAAAAAAAAATACCTCGCAGCCAATTGAATTGTGGGATGACAGTAGTCAGTCCTTACATAATTATGCGGCCATTCGTGTCGGTATTGCAAGTTTTGAAATCTTCCAGAAATTTTTGTTCATCTCGATATGAAAAATCATCGATTTTGAATTCGCAAATAAATTAAAATTTTGCGACTCTTCTCAAGAAGAAATTTTCTACGTGAGGAAGGTCCATCTTACTCTCAGCAGGACTTATGACGTACGAAATAATAAAAAATTTTCAGCATCTACTCCGATATGTGTTATATGAAATAAAACCAAAAAATTGCAGCCTCCCCGATTGCATCGTTGGCGCTCCGAGTATGAACGCGTTCAAGAACAGACCATAATAAAAATAATAATAGCGGTTTCAGCGTTTATTAGGCTATAGGTCTGTCGTCGATTCTTAACATCGCAGAACATTCACAGCATTTTGCGGTCTCGAACTCGCAACTTGCAACTCCAATTCTGCTTTGCTTAACACTTTGACTCCGATTGCTTCATCTTGTATTATTATTTCATTTTTTGTGCTGTTTTTAAACAGGGTTGCCAGACGATCATTTTTTCCGGACAAATTCCGTGATTTAGTTTTTCTTAATTGCGTTGGCCGGCTAAAATTTATGATAGTAGTACTTCCTAATTAAATTTTAAATGCTGCAAAAAGAAAATAAATTTAATTTTTATAGCGGAACCTACAAATAAACTAGTATATATTGAGTTACTGACCTTTTTTCGGCCTTTTTTGTTCTCGGATTTGGCCAATTTTAGGCAACCTGAATTATGTACCACTACGTCCTGGTCCACCACAGACCACTATAGTCCTCCACTACGTCCTCACCCTGGCGCACAGAGCTGGGATCGAACCCGCGTCTCTCTGCGCCAATCTTGCTACTCTGAACTTTAACCACTGGGACACCCTGCCCACCTAGATGACTAGATAAAGCTATGGAAAAATATATGTTCAGAAATACCTAGCACCATATCGAACCCGGTGGAAATCTAATAGCTATTTCAAACTATCGTCAGTCCTGAGAAGATCCGGTCAAATGACACGATTTTAGATCTTCTGTGAACAAGGAACGAAAAGGAAAAGAATCAGCGACAGGCCACATCAGGCCTACACTTCAGCGCCGAGATCACTATGTTATGTTATTTGAAAGTGAATTTTTACTTTGGTAGTGTTTTGTTTGAATGCTACGTAGTTCCAGCATGCATGCGTGTCCGCATTTTCTAGTCGAAGTATGATTGAGGCTGGAGAGTTAATTTTATCTTCGTAATTATTACATGGCATCCCCTGCTTGAAATACAAAACTCCTTTAGTTGCAGTTTGTAATGACCAGCATGCAAAATTCAATGCCTCCAGATTAAAGAATTTTTGTGCGAAAGGGATTATAGTTTCAATTAAGTGCAACGAAATTCAATTCATATTTACACCATTGTTAATCGTAATCAAGGTTAACATCTGCAATCCCGATGCGCCCAACAGTCACCTACTTAACCTTTGTTCTTGTATTAATAACCTTAAATTGAGTTGCATTTAAATTTTAAGTAATCTTAAATTTACTCACAAGACGAATACTATTCAAGTTCTTTTATGTTGAGATGTTGAGATGTTATAATATCGATGACCTCTCATTTGAGTGAAATAAAGAAAATTTCATTTAGGATATTTTTTAGAGATTAAGACATTTTCAATTCGGTCTGATTTTGGTAAGTTTTCGTAACCAATCACAAACCTGCTAAATATTCGGTATATATTCCATTCTGAGGGTATGTGATGTAATAAAAATAATAATGAGTAAATACGCGTACGTCGTCAACCCCTCAACCCTTTTCCTGCATACGTCAACCCTTTTGAAGCACAGGAAGACCAAATTAGAAAACAAACAAGAAATGAACACTAATATGCATAGCAAATATATAAATATGAGAAACCTATACTTAATGAGTTAATTTTTAGGCATTCATAGGTTATTTTACATGAGCTCAGTTCTTACCTATTACATAGTTCTGTGCAAGCGGTTACATCAGTGGCTTATCACGCATTACAAGCAACGGAGCCTCTATCTATGGCTGCTTATGCATTGGAATCTCTCAAAAATTTGTACTGAGCCTAGGTTTTCTTCGAAAAAGAGTATTCGCTGTTGTTTCCACAGCGGCGAGCAGAGATCCCTTATCCCGAGAGAAGGTTGCTATCTAAGCGTACTGTTAAGTGCGCTTAACAGTTTAAAGTATCAACGTCGAAGTTTTATATTAAAATGAAGAGCTCTGTGTGAAGCTGCGCGGATCTCGTCTACCGGAAGCGGACTTCACGAGAGTAGCTGTGTGCGCCCCGGGCAGATATTCGTCGTCAGGTTTCTGTCGACATCTTCTCCACGTGTGGAACAGTCCGATGCCAGTGAACATTTCTATCAGCATAGTAGTTGAATACAACGTAGGAAAAACGATCATGCTCGATTTCACCTGAAAAATTACTGTTTATACGTTTTGTTTTGTAAGCATATAGGAAGTGCGTTAAAATGCACACTTAAGAGAAGAAATAATTGAAAATGTTTTTAGAAAGGCAAAGGGTTATATAAGAAGTTATTGCCAACGGTTCAATTTATCTTACTTGTTAGTAGAATATCAAATTCAACAACCGAAATGATTGAAGTACAACATGCATCCTTTATTTTTTCAGGACTCCTAGGAAATAGCCACACAAAAAAAGGTAGTTTGTGAACAATGAGACTTACTTTTGGGTCCTGGAATGACATCAAAATCACGCTGAGAGCAACCGCCATGTTTTGGGATCCGGTTTCTATGCCAATGGTTCTGCAAACTTTATTCGTCTGTAAAGGATGAAAAACTAAATTATGGGATTTTATATCCAATATTAGATTTTATCATCCTACGAATGCCATATAAAATTGATCAAACATAATAATACTGGTCCAAAAATCTCGTTGGACATCACACTACAAACATTTATTGTTAACGTTAACAATCCGATGCCTTATATACTTACATAGATTTAATAGATTTAAACGATGCTTAGATTTATCTCAACCGATGTTAACATAGATTTAAACAGGTGCGACTGGATTCACACATGCAGTAGAGATTAAAATCTAAATTGCCCAACAAACCGTTTACTCAAATAACATAATATTCGCTCACATAGTGCAGTATTTACTACCCCGCAGTAAATTCACTCACCCAACACGGCAGTCACTCATCCCGCAAGACAATCACTTATTTGCACGACAGTCACTCTCCCTTCACAACATTTACTCACCCTGCATGGCAGCTATTCACCCTGCACGGCATTTACTCACCCTGCACGGCATTCACTCACCCTGCACGGCATTTACTCACCCTGCACAGCATTTACTCACCTTGCGCTGCATTTTCTCACCCTGCACGGCATTCTGGAAAGCCTCGATAATAGAGGGAATTATCCCTGAGGGTCTCAAAGTGGGACTGATAACGCCAATCCACAAAGGAGGTCCGAGGGACAGACCCCAAAATTACAGACCTGTGACCTTGACCTCACATGTGATCAAGTTTTTTGAGAAGGTAGTGGTCAGGAGGCTTGTCCGGTAATTGGAAACTCGAAATCGAGAGAAGCGAAGGTGAAAAGCGGAGTTCCGCAGGGCTCAGTGCTTGGACCGTTCCTCTTCCTCATCCACATTGTCGATATTGACTCAGAACTCACCACGCATCTATATCGTCATTTGCGGACGATACAAGAGTGCTGATGAAGATCACAGATGGCCTAGACTGCGAGAGGTTACAGGATGATCTGTCGTCAATCTACGATTGGGCCCTATAGTGAACAATATGCAGTTCAACGGCACCAAGTTCGAAGTAATGAGATAAGGAGACCGCACCGAGATCGGGATGCCACATCGCTACTTGTCATCAGATGGCACAGAAATTGAGGAGAAGCAACTAGTTCGAGATATCGGAGTGTTGATGAGTACTGAAGCCACGTTCGATGCCCATATCGAGGAAATAGTCGCGCGCAGCCGGCAAAGGATGGGGTGGATATGGCGGACATTTCGAAAGAGAGAAGCAGCACCAATGATTAAGAGCCCTCGTGCTCCCCACTCTTGAGTGTTGCTGCCAGCTTTGGTCGCCACTCAAGGCGGGTGCGGTGCGGAAACTGGAGGCAGTGCAGCGGACCTTCACGTACAGGATCAGCGGCATGAGGGAGCTGAACCTGAACTACTGGGAAAGGTTGAAACACCTGGAACTGTACTCACTGGAGAGAAGAAGGGAAAGGTATATCATACTGTACACTTAGAAGATGATAAACGGACTGGCTCCCGACTTTGAGAGTGAGACCTCCAAAATAATGACATATTACAACGAAAGAAGGGGGAGACTGTGCAGGGTTCCCCCATTTAATAACCGAGCCGCGGCAAGAGTACAGACTCTTCGTGAGGGATCACTGTCCGTGGTAGGACCGAGGCTCTTTAATGCCTTGCCAAAAGCGCTGAGAGGAGGAGAGTTCACCCTTGCAACATTCAAGAGACGACTGGACAAGTGGTTGAGAAAGATCCCGAATTGTCCAGTAATGGGAAACTACCATCAGCAAGTGACAAGCAACAGCATCTTGCATCAGCTGGCCCAAAGGAGGGCAAATAGACGGAATACGTCCAACGTTACATTCGATGACGACTCGGAGACGGAGGACGACGAAGGCGGCGCATCAGCGTGACCGGGGACTAGGAAGTCCCGAACTCATCACAAGGTCATAAGGTAAGGCATTCACTCACTCTGCACACGAGGCGAGCAAATACGTAAGCCAACGAGAAGCCCAGGAATGGAAGGATGAAGGAGCAGGCGTAGAGGAGAGGAGTGGCGGCAGCGAACACCGACCAGTACAGGATGCCCCAGATGACTGTGTTAGTTATTACCCCCACCCATCCAATGATGCTCGAAATCTGAGGAATTGAATAAAAAAGCGTTAATGACTTCAGATTCGAGAAGGAGTTGGGGTGGAGATGAAAATATTGACAGATAATTTCAGGACGACTAGAAATTCTTAGCATTGCGTCAAGAAAATTGTGAATTCATTCTAAGCATTCAAATTATTTGGTTGCACTGTTCATTAAAATAAGAAGTCACTCAACACAAAAAGACAGGTTTGAATTATTGTCGATCCTACCTTTGTAACAATTGAGGCTATTCTCGGACGATAGTGTCTAATCCCCATACCGACTGCCACCGGCGCAGTAATGAGGACTAAAGTTTTCATGATGGTCGCGTACGGTATGATTATAGGGGAGCTGTCGTAGACATCTAGCCATATTTTCGAGTACATCCATAAATTCAATGGCATCCCTCCCAAAGCCAGGATAGATGAGAATGTCGTCATAACGATACTGAAAAGAAATTTATTCATTATGTGTGCCGTGAAGAAATTCAGATAAATCTACTCATTGTGTTTCAATGCAATGCCGTTTTACTCTCACTCGACACTGCAATAGTGTTCATGTTTTTGTTACGAAGCTTTAAAAAGTTATACTCTAGAGGATGGTAAATTGAATTTTCTCGGCTCAATTCATTTTCTTTGAGTCGAGTACAACTCAATTTGAAATAATTTACTTTGTTTTAGCACAGAAATTTTTTAGATTGCATACTGAGTTCATTTAAAATCACATTTTAAATATTTAAATATCAACATATCTGCCTAACTTGAGCCTGTTGTCGTCATTAGAAGTATCGAATGAAGTAATCTTGAAAGAATTAAAATTTTATTATAAGGAAGGTCAAATTTAAAATTTCATACGGGAAAAGTTCCCACGTCATTGTCTTCTGTCTCGAATTTACGATTAATAGAAATTGCATGAAAAAATTTTGTGCGGTGTTCATTGCCCCGCCGATGGTCTGTGCAATGCGCATGCTGTCAGAGCAAGCGTGGAAATGTTCAGACGAGACAACACAGCACACTCGCTGTATGATAAACAATCACTTCCACGCTCCTTGCCATGCAACGATAGTTCTTAGGCATGACATTGTGACAAAGACAACCAGAGCAAGGGACGGTTTAAAGTTAGGGATGGTTTCTGTTTAGGAACGGTTTACATAGATAAATTTATTCATTCAACTATTAAAACTTGAAAGATTAATTCTATGATTTTCAAACCACGGGTTTGCATTAATCTTAAGTCAAGTTGTACAAGGTTCCAGGTGTAATGTATGAAGTTACGCGCGTGAAAGGTGGGAAGAACACGGCAGCACGGAACAGGCTTTAATGGGACCAACATAATGAACATGAAACAGGAACGAAGGCGTACGGAGCACGACTTCTAAAACGTGCTTCTTCTTAGCGGCTAGTTATTAAGAATACAGGAAACGTTATATGCTACACCTCTTCCTTAAATCATTTACATCACTATTAGAACGAAATTCTATGGGACACAGGAAATTTTCAATAAGTTAGTCTATCAGGACATTTACGAGTTCGGGTCGGATAACGACGTTCGACTTCCGAGGTATCTACTGAAGGCTCAGTAGGCTGAATCGTCTGCGATTCTCCTGACATTTTGACATTCGGGCATGGTGGTGGAAAGGCTAGCTTTACATCTTTAGTTTCACTAACGACCTCCGAACCCTGAGAAGCAGAAGCTTCATCGCCCTTGGCCGTAGCCAACAATTGATCAATGTGCTTCAATACAATCCTGTTTTGAATCTTAACATCATAGTTTACATTTCCTACTCTACGAACAATATTTCCACGAGCCCACTTCTCTCTCCCTGCATTCTCCTTCACCAATACACAATCACCTACTTCAAACTCGCGCAAAGGTCTAATCCAGGCAACAGAAATTTTCGAAGATACGCAAGCTAGAATTAAAGAGCTGTACCGAATCCTAACTGCAACGTCGAGCTGAAAACACAAATATTTTGCATCTCCCATCAGAACAGATGCCGCACCACCGACCTGAGCGCGAGGTCTCCGTCTACCCAGTAAGTGAAGAAGTTCGAGAAGGATCCGCTAGGGCAGGACGACACCATGAGCACCCCCATGGCCTCGTAGGGCGTGAGCTTGAAGGCCCAGGCGAGGGTGGCACCGCACGCCGGCAGAATGATGAACTGTCCTGCCATCCCGATCAGGATACCAACCGGGGGCCAGGCGTGACTGATTACCTGCACGATCATGATTATCTTTGTAATTTTACTCAAAGTATTTGCTATTATTATGAATAACAGGCATAGAAGACAAATGTTAAGGTTTATTGATAGGACGAAAAATGTTTGAATTTATGTATTAAATTGTACATAAATTCATAGCCTTTAATAATGCAAAATTAGAAAAGAAATTGTCGGAATCTGATGAATTTTTCTGTCTTTGATTATAGAGGCACAACGTCTTCAAATAGTAAGATGTAATTGATAGCTAACAGTTATCCACGATCGCTTACTATTCTCCAGTCCGTAGCTGAGCCCATGCCCAGCATGAGGTTTGCGGTGTTCGATGCCATAATAACTGTAGCAGCGAAGTCAAGGGTTTTCTTCCACTGAGGCCAGCTAGGTTCATTTAAGCATTCAGCGTCTTCTGTATTGTTGGTACAATTGTCGTACATGGACGTGGTATTGACGGAGTAGAGGTTTTCATGTGATGCTGGGCTAGCAGAGGGCGTGCGTAGCGAAAAGTTTGCCGTTACAAGCGCGATCTTGCTCAGCAGTATTGCTGCGACCGGCACACTTCGCTGCATAATGATCATTTAAGCTATTGATATGGGTAGTTAATCCCGAAATATGAATTGCAAAAATGGATTCTGATTCTATTGCTGCATAAGGTATCGTTAACATAAAGTTTCTGGAAAGTTTCTGCTGAAAAAAATTCAAGAAACATCAGTTACATTTTGTACAAGCGATAGATGTGCATCATGAAATATTATTATTCTTTACATATTATTATTCTTAGAAGGAACATCAATCATCAATCAAAGGGCAGCATTGAAGTTTCTGCTTCAGTTATTTAAGTTCATCACTTATGAATGCGAGATCAACTCTAAACCAGAACATGTGGGTATTATGTATGTATTATATTTTTGTGGGTATTATAATGAATTATATTTTGGCATCGAGCCTTTAAAGTGCGAGTGCTCTAGTCTAGGTTGCGCTTAATATTGACGCCTGACACAAGAGTTACGTCGCGGAAGAAAGAAGCGGTGAAATAATCCATTCCCTTTCATACATACGCACTGAATTACGAACATGCAAGTGCAAGAGGAGCAACAGCGCCTAAAAACATTTGCACACCTACCGAACTACGCAACAGAATAATGTCACATTAGTCGCATGAGCGAGAAAGCGGTGTTTGTATTTACATGTCGTCTTGGCCGTGTCGATTTCAGAACATAGACAATATTATTGTTCTAATACTCTGCGTCGACTCCGAATTGTGTCCAGCTCCAGATACTGTCGATTACAGTGTTTCTGCCGAGCCGCACTTATCACTCAGTGCGGGGAGTAACATTTCTAATTTCTTGTGTTTGAAGGAACAGGAGCGAACCACATTCACCACCGCGCATCATTTACTCTGAAAAGCCTTCATGTGCTACAATTCATCAAGCTCATTAAGAACCTACAAAAGATTATTCCCACAGTCCAGCTCATGCATACAAATATTGAGAGCTCTCTTCCTACCTTTCAAAGTAGGGTAACGTGGGGCAGCGCGCCCCCCACTTTTTTTAAACTAATTTTTTGATGAAGTTTTAATTGACACGAGGTGGTTCTTTGTTTTATTTAAAGGTGCAACTAATGAGGAATGTATGATGTGAATTAGGCGCCTATAGATTTATTCAATTTTTAATGAAACACTATTTTGTAAAAAGTGTCAAAATGGGCCCATTGCCCCACCCCTGGGGCAATGGGCCCATGGGCTTGGGGCAAGGCGCCCACCCTTGGTCCCTTCACCACAATTATATATTTTTCGTTTAAAAACGATAAAACAACACTTTACAGTTAAAAATAAGAAAAATGCAATAAAAAATATGACATTCATCCATTTATTAACAACTCAAAAAATCATATCCTTAACTTGAAGAAAATATACTCTTGGCTTAAAAAATCTATCACTGACGTGAAGAAAAATATTTCATTGACATAAAAGTATATATCCTTGACTTGAATAATATATACTTGTGATAAAAAATTCGTCCTTGACATGAAAAAAATGTATTCTTGACTAGAAAAAATATATTTAGTTGATCAGAAAAAAAAACTTCGTTCCAGTTTTGCCCATAATCCAGATATTATTAAAACCTTTATCTGGGCTGAAACAGTTATCCACAAATAACTTAATAACGCAAACACTTAGCAAAATGAAAATCCGTACACTTCATCCCAGTGAAACTGTCGACCGGCGGTAGAGAACACGGACCAATATCTGCCATACATAGCGAGAAACCTGCTATGGGCCCATGACCCGCAGTGGGCTCGCTGCCCTATGTTACCCTACTATGCGATCAATTCATGTAAGCACTAAACATCAAGCTTGTAGGTCTAGAAAGCCGAGTTTAGTTCTACTTTATTGCGTAGGCTTCTACAGGATCAAACCCAGACCTGGAAATCAGGTAAAAGCCATCCATGAATATTATCCCACAACCTTATAGCCATTAAAATTTTTAGTCATGCATGTGGGCTGTGGTTTATCCCTCCCCAAACTTATTTCAATTGTAAAAATAGTATATTTTTAAAAAAGGTATATTTTCATGAATATTTCCGAAAAAGTATGCACAAAATAATATAATAACCTATCCAAGCAGGCCGCGGCCCTGAATTATTGCGTATTGGTTCACCGTACAGGGTCAGACTGTATATAGTTTAAATAACTTTTCCAAAATTAAAGGTATAACATGCCGTTTTCGGTCTCATTAGAAATTTCACTTAAGAATTTAGCTGGCTACATGTGTGTTTTAGCTCATTCAACAATTGTGAATTGTGCTCATTTTCTCAGTCAAGATACTTTAAATAAGAGTCCTACTGATGTGCAAGCGTCCAGTGCCCAATTGAAAGTCAGTCCGGCATCTATTTTAGATTAAAATATTACCTCCAAGTCTGAGCATATCAATAATGTTAATTTATTTTTCTGTCTCAGTAAGATGAATTATAAAAACTTTATGCCTCATTGAATGTCCTTCGTCTATCTCTTGTAGTTTACCAACGGTTTCAATGGCTGAGGTACAGCAATTATGTGCATTATGTGCACTGGCTGCCTTAAATTTCATGATACAGCTCGTCAGTGATGATCGTACCACCAGGGCAAAATTTGATGATCGTACTTTAAACCCACATACAGTAAATTACGCGATGAAGAATAAACTATAAAATTATATTTTTTTGGGAGCAGGAACAACACCGAATGGTATAAAACCGCTGTATATTTCTTTACAATGACTTTTAATACCGCTACATGAGTTGTTGCCACCTAACGGCAATAATGAAAACTATACGTACAGCCTGTGAATGTTTAACGTGCGCTTAATCACTATATATTGCATCACAATTTCAACTTATTATGTAAGTAATTTCAAAACTTTGGCTAAATATTAAATTATTTGTACCGAAAATATTATCTCGGCCTGAAATAATGTCTTTACACGTGTTAGTATAGTATAGTATCTTTGGCATTAAAGAATAGGCCTGGATAGGCCTGTCGCCGATTCTTGTACTTTTCTTGACTAGACTGGCCTTACGGACGGTAGATTTAAAATCGCTTCTAGTTATCAGTTGTTCCGTAGGGTACGAGGCATTTTAAGACTGAACATATGCTCATGCATGGCCTTGTCTAGTCTGTTCTTGAACGCGTTCATACTCGGAGCGTCAACAATATCTTCAGGGAAGCTGTTCCACATGTCAGTGACTCGAAGCGAGAAGAAATGTTGTCGCGTGGATAAGTGTCCACGTCTTCAAATAGTAAGATGTAATTGATAGCTAACAGTTATCCACGATCGCTTACTATTCTCCAGTCCGTAGCTGAGCTCGTCAGCTACGAGGGAAAATTCTGAAAATTCTGATGATGATGTTAAATGTAAACTTGCCTGTAAGTTCAGTTTTTAAGTACTTTGGTGTGTACTGATCTAATCCACCGAATGGCATTGCCTGAGCGAAAGTTTTACCGTATTACACGACAATGGCGTACGAACGTTTTTGGAGTGATTTATTTGATATATTCCTGCTATCTCGTCACGTTGGTCGTCTAGTCTTGACGAGCAGATATCTTCAATGCACATAGTAAAGCGCAGCTGTATAGCTGTCTCCATACTGGTGTAGATGAACATATAAAAATTTTTTTTAATTATCACTGAAACAACATTGTTCTGTTAAATACTAACGTTATATCTCAATAACAATAAGTTAGATTTGATAGATCTTTCGGAGTAAATTGATGATGAAAATTTGATCAACGTACACCAATCTAACATCAACATTGTTTTAATGTGGATTTCCAGTGGCTGCTTGTCATATTATATTTTAGTAACTTTTCAAGTGTAATTTGATTTAAAATATTCTGGTTGACGAACAATGCAACTGACAACAAATCGCAATCAAAGTTTTTTTTCAACATCTTGTTCCTCCGGGGGGTGGTACACTTCGTTTTGCGGTGCGTAAATTAAATGCTGCTAAAGCGGATTTTAAATTTTTTTACGACAACAAAACCTTTGATCGTTTTGACATTTAATGAACTGAAACACAATGGTTTAAAAAACAAAAAAAAATTGATGAGCCTTACTGAAAAAGATTCTTGATAAATATGCCGACCAGATTACGTACTCGTTTGCATATTCAAATTTTGATACACTTCGTTCTCTTCTGCGTATCGACCGCTTCATTCAAGGGTTAAAGTGATGAAGGACTTTTTTGAGCTAGTGACGTTCAACAATTCGCCTCTAAACATTTTCGCCTTATGTAATTTTTGCAGTAATTGATTGCTACCCAACGAATTGTGTGCTTGAATGTTTAAATTAAGTTAAAATCTGATAAACGCGTCATTCTGCAGAGCGATTCAAATTAAGTATTTACACCTCTTCCCTTCTTTTGGACAACAGCGCCTAATGAAAAATCCACTGTTTTCAATCACGTATACCTAGCATTCTGATGATTTAAGAAAGATCCTCACGTAACATCGGGAACTATGTATCGTAAAATGATCACATGATTTGATGACCTCCTAGAGTGAAGCTTAGAATTGCTATGCGAATGGCAAGTTTCTCTATCTTAATAGACTTCTGCGTTTACATCAAGTGCAACGTGGAACAAGTGATGCACCCGTGAGTCATCTTCTTTCATTCTAAAGTAACCTCAAATTATTTACTAATTTACATTAATTAATCGTAATATGAAACTTGCTTGGAAAATTTATAATACATAACAAGAAGACGTTAAATGTATAAAACAAAGAAAACATAATTTGCAGTTCATAATAATTCTATCTTCCTGACACTTTTTCGTGCTCTCGAGAAAAGTTTCTTTGCCATGCAAACAAATTTTGG